AATTAGTTCTCTTAGCAAGTCTTTTTGCTGTCCATATAATAACAAAAAGATTTTGCTAGACCGGAAGGAAATTTGCTCGGTCAACAAATTATTTTTCTCCGTGTGAGATTCGCAGCACTATAACGATATAAGAAAAATTCACTGGAAAACTGTAACTCCACTTTTCAAGTAGGATTTCAATTGGAATTCACGTAACAAAATAATCCTATGCGGAGAAAATCTATTGTAATAACAATTACAACTAAATTACAACAAAATTAGAATTACAACTAAATCTTGGATTATACGGAAATTACGACTAAACATTATTTATTTAAAAATGTTACACATCTTTGACTTTTGACTTTTTGCTGTAAAATTATTGTAATTACTTGAACGTTTTTATATCGTATATTCGCAGATTGTAAAGAAATTTGCTATTTCTGTAGTACAAGTCATACTACGATATATATGTCAATATAATCCAGCTTGACAAGAAATATTGTAGAAAAAAATATAATTTTAACGTAATTCTTACCACAATATAATAATTTCCACGTACATAATCACGATCGTCATTATCATTATCTCATCCTTGATATTATTAATATTTATTATTTATAATAATAATGAAACTTCGGCTCTCTTCCTTTAACTTAAGTGGGGAAAGTATATTATCTTAAAATTCAACGAATCACGACTGCTTTAGCTGCTACTGCTGTAGCTGCCGCATTAATACGACGCGTCACGCACGTAGAAACGTAAGCCAACCCCAATAATAATCTCGGAACAGCCAAACATCCCCATAACTCGCCCGACGTGCTCCGTGTTCCCATTGAAGTGCCGTGCGTGTCCGTTTCCGAGACTATTTCCGGCTATCTCGCGATAATTCGAGTTCGAAAAACCACTCGTATAATATTTCTCTTACTTCATCGAGAAGTGGGTATGAAGACTACTTCTGATAATTCGCGAACGAATCGCGATAACTACGAAAAACGAAGATCTAGAAGAATCTGAAAAACCTGCCAGCTTTGAGAAACTCTTTTGATGAAATCTACCCCGAAAAAATCTTTTGCCGCGTTTAACGGATTTTTCACGAGTGCATGAAAATTATCATTTCTAAAGCTATTAGAACAATACATGCGCGCGCTGCGCACGCGCCATATAGCTAATAAAAAACAATAAAAAATGTAAAATAAAAATTAAATAAAATTAAAATATACTTTAATTAATTAATAATTATAGGGAGAGACAGGGAGAGACAGGGAGAGACAAGGAGAGACAGGGAGAGACAGGGAGAGACAGGGAGAGACAGGGAGAGACAGGGAGAGACAGGGAGAGACAGGGAGAGACAGGGAGAGACAAAGAGAGACAGGGAGAGACGGGGAGAGACAGGCAGAGACAGGAAAAGACAGGGAGAGACAGGGAGAGACAGGGAAAGACAAAGAGAGACAGGGAGAGACGGGGAGAGACAAGGAAAGACAGGGAGAGACAGGGAGAGACAAGGAGAGACAGGGAGAGACAAGGAGAAACAGGGAGAGACAGGGAGAGACATATCTCTTCTATATTTTTTTTCGTGACCTAACCAACGCGATGATAGCTATTTACTTGGTAATTTGACAGGCGACATGAAGCAAACCGCAGTCCACATGAAATTAGCTAAGCGAGAGAACCAATCAGCATCGCAGAAAAGCGGCAACAATTAAATCTTTTACATGTCTTTTTTTAGAGACGATTCTTTCGATTGCTCTAACTTTGCATCACATTCTCTCATTCCAAAACACTGTTATTTTATATAAAAACTATTTCTTCAGTTAGCTCCTTTTCTTACAAAATTCAAACATTTTTTTATCGCTGCAGATTCTTCTAGTTGTACCAAACATTGTTTCGGAAGAAAAATCGCGTAAGTCAAACCAGAAGCCAGGAAAATTAAAAAAAAGGCTTTTTTAAACAAACGGACTCCTATGATTAAGAATAAACATGCCCTTAACATCGGGTTCTAATCAAGAATTTTTTGGTCTGAGTTGTTCTAAGTCTACGAGACATAATGGTATGAATCTCGCATCGTTATCGGCTCTGCTAAAATTCGGAAAAATTGACTTTTAAGCAGCTACTCCATCAAGAATAAACATAATCCCTTTTTTCTGTTTAAATCGAGAACTTTTCGTTCTGAGTTGTTCTAAGTTTACGAAACAAAGCTCTGTAATATGAATTTTGTGTCACAATCGGTTCTCCTAAAATTTAAAAAAATCGATTTTTTCGCAGATGTTGGCAAGTAAGGTTAAGGCGGAAATTTCGCGACAGCCTCCAAGGCCGATCCGCATGTAGAAGAGTCGACGAATCAGCAGCGACTTTGCGAATCGCCCGATGTCGAAATAATTTCAATTCGGAGCAAAAGTTGAAGCACGAGAAATTTTCATTGGGCACAGGAAAAAAGATATGGACAACTAAACATAATTTGCTGTGTTAGCCACTTTTTCTTTGCTGTAGAAACTAATTTTCTTGCTAAGATAACAAGAAAATTTGCTTCTGCGACAAAAAAGTAGCTGAAGCAGTAAATTATGTTTAGTTGTCCATTTGTAGCAAATTTGCTGTGTTAGCCGTTTTTCTTGCTGTACGAACAGATTTTCTTATTATCATAAGTTCCTGCAGCAAAAAAAAGTAGCTGATACAGTCCATATATAGTAAATTAGTTTGCTGCTGCAGAAAATCCTTTTTTTCAATGGGAGAATCTCCCTTTGAGAGTCTCTCGTCTAATTCCCTCTGAAGAAAACGAGCACTGTCCTAAAAAAATTATTCCCGTAAAATCGCGCCACATCGTGTCCACTTAAAAAATGCGCGCTCTTTCTCTCGAGCACCCCGCAGATTAAACCATCGCAATATCCGCGAGATTGGCTTAAAAGGATCTCGAAATTTCCTCGGCGTATCTGCGAACGAGCGTCTCGAGAATAGATCAAAATGCGTAGAGATCGCTGGAAATTTCCCGTTTCTCTCCTGTCTGCCTCCCTCCCCTTCTCCCACCACCGTCGCCAAGGAAGAATTCGATAGCCATGTGATGCTGGATATAGATGTGTTCGCGGCCGGGAGTAAATATCACGTGAATGAAGGAAGGTTCACCTTGAATCGGCGATTGCGCGAACGACGTCTGACGTCGCACGACTCGACTCGGCGTGACACGGAATTTCCGCAAAGTCGTAAAGTCGACGTACCCGACGAGGGGCGTACGATACGAAATCGCGTCTCGCAGGCTCGAAATTGCGCGACGGGGTCGGTATTTGCCGCTATTTCGACGTGCGAATTCCAACGTCTCATTCCTCTCGCTACTGCGAATTTTCGTCGTAGGAAAATTCGGAAAATCGATCATTTTATTTCGTTTCCCTCCTCTCTCTCCATTTTCTTTCTTTACATAATCCAAGGTCGATGTTAATATTCGTTGCTTGCTCGCGCGAGACACTCAGATTTGAACTGAACGTGAGTTTTTCAATCGAATCACGATTACAAATATCACGTATATTATATGATACAGTTGAAAAACTCAGATCCAGTTCTAAATTCTAATCTGAACATTAGACATGATACAAGTGGCGACTATTAATACAAGTTTTAGGCCCTTATTAATAGTCATTACTTAAAATTTGCCTCAGATGATACTTAGATTTGAATTGAACAGATTAGATATGAGTTTTTCAATCGAATGGTAGTTACGATTATATCGCATATTATTCAACTTATTCCCAGCGTCTTTCTCTGGCGTTTCTTTATTTTAACAGTTCAAGACTCGTATTAATAATCATTAGTCATTAATAGTCTTGAAATTGAATTACTTGTCTCGCGTAAAATATTCAGGTGAATCGAACAGGTTAAATATGAACTTTTCAATTAAATCGTGATTACAAATATAATATCATATATGTTATATGATTCAAATGAAAAACACAAATTTAAGTTCTGATCCGAGTATCTGACGTGGAACAAGTTTCAAATGACGACTAGTCTGAGTTTCCAAGGTGAATTTTGGGAGCAGAGACGCTTTGTAAACTCATAATTTACGTAATGTTGACGACACGTTCCAGATGTTTAGTGTGGCGTGGCGAGTGATTAATGAGATGTTGGATTTCAGCAAAATCGATTTATTTCTGAACCGCTGTCCTACGATGCCATTCATCCGAGTTATTCAAACGACTCTAAACATCCGGATTATCCGACCTTCATTCAGTGCTGGCAACTCACACTTCAAGTTCCTTCGATATTTTATGGGACAGATGATTTAAACAGATGCGCCTAAATCGTTTACATCGTTATATTACTTCCAATTGACTTTTCTGGTGACATTTACACAAGAAAACGCAGAAGGGTGTTTGTTATTAATGGATTTACTACAAAACTTCCACAGCTTTCAATATTAAAACGGAAGAAAGCGTTGGCGTCAAAAAAGCGTTATTAACTCTATGAAAAGAATCGTTGGAAACGTCGCCGGAAGGTTATCGTGGTCTGTTAAATTTTGATTGTGTTTTTGTAAATGAATCTCGACTCAAAACTTCACACGCATGTCTCGTCTGAAATTCACCGGAGCTCGTGATCTCGTTATAATCTCTGTGCTTCAGTCTCTGAGGAAGCGTGCCACGTTGATTACACCTGCATATTTCGAAATACTCTGTATGTTTCGCGATGCTCGACCGATCCACACTCCCGAAGTTTCGCGAGGATGCCCTCGAGAATAATGCATCATTGTCAATGTCTCGACAAGTTTCTGTGTAAAGCAATTTCCGATGGAAATCTTCAATTTCTCGGACAGAGGTACGAGCGGAAATTGAGACTGGCTGAACTTCAGCTTCAAGTGCGTCGTTAAAGACGCTCGAGTGTCACCTCAAACAATACAGATCTCCATAGGACACTCCTAAAGGCATTTCGAGAACGTTTTTACGTCCTCAGGACGATCTCCTTTGGTGATCTTGTGCTGTCTGGGTTTTACAACCGTTTTATGAAAAAAAGCAACTCTCGCTGCAAGATATGTCACTTACTCAGCATGCGAATGACGTTCCTCTGAGCGGCGGTCTTCCCTCGGTTGTTGTCAAGATGATTCAAGCCACCTGGTACATGGTTCCTCTTGACGGTGACGGTCAACAGCGTGGAGCTTCGTAGCTTGATGGCGATCAGTACGTATAGCACCGTAATGATCGTCATCGGCAGCACGAAAAAGAGTATAGTCGAGATTTCGAATGCATGATCAATCAGCGTCCACCGGATCGTGCATCTGGCACTGTCCAAGATGGCGGTACCGTTGTCAAAGTACTCGTAAGTGATGCCGAACTGAATTGCTTGGGGCACCGCGAGGCAGAGCGCCAACAGCCAGATCACCACCACGAACTTCACTGCCCTCGACAACTTCGACATAGTATGTGAGATGAAGGGGTGACATATTGCCACGTACCTACGAATAATAATAATAATAAGTAGCAGTGGCAGAAGAAAGAGAAAAAGAATAGAAACAAGAAGAAAAAGAAGAAGCAGACGAATAGGAAGAGGGAGAAGAAGAGAAAGAGGCAGAATATAAATATAAAGAAAGAAGAGGAGGAAAAAGAAGAAAAAAGAAAGGAGAAAGTTAGGAGGAAGAAGAAGCAGACGAAGAGGCAGAGGAAGAAACGAAGCGGAAAAGAAGAAGAAGCGAAGGAATAAGAGACGAACATTCTCGTGGATATATTGCGCTTGTCAGCATTCATCTTCCGAATATCTGTTTGGCAAATGCGCGCGCGTGTACACATTAACGAAACCCGAAATTAATACATGCCGACAATTTCAGCCGACAGCGGACTGTATCCCATCGATCTTTTTGTCATGAGAGTTGAGTAGAATTTATATAGAAATACGTTATTGCGCTATTAGAAATATTACCCGGCGAAAGTCAATTAATCAATATCGAATGCATGCAACAGCAGTGTGATCTCTCCTCTTTTTCCTTCTCTCTCTCCCTCTTTCTCCGATCCCGCTTGACATTTCATCACGACCACCTGATTCTCCCCTGGAGAATATTCCCGCGCATCCCCCCGATACCCTCCGATAATCACCTCTCGACGGTGAACGCCGTGATGGTGAGAACAGTCGCGTTGGCGGAGGTCTCCGCGGCGAAGCTCTGGATGATGCAGAACGCTTCGCCGAATATGTAGGGGAAATGCGACCATATGTAGTACATCTCCGGCGGCAGTCCGGACACCAGCAGTAGCAGATCCGACACCGCCAGGCTGAAGAGGTAATAGTTGGTGGCGGTGTGCATGGACTTGTTGCGCGCGATCACCACGCAGGTGGAGATGTTGCCGATCACGCCGGTGAAGAAGATCACCACGTAGATCACCGTGATCGGCAGCACGATGTAGAGGGCGTCCCGCCGATCCGACGCGCCGTCGTTGCGCAGGAAGGCGACGATCGCGCTGGAGTTGTCCTCGTGAGATCGCGAGATCGCGGCGTTCTCGTCGGCGCCGCGGAAGGCGGACATGAGGACCGGTAGCCTGAAGCCCAGCTCGCCGTTTCTCGACAGCCCGCCCGGTTCTTGAAGAATCACCGTCGCGGTGGTGTTCACGCTCGCGCCTGCGATCATCCTGCGTGGATGATTATTTCGCCCTTATCGTTGCGAACCTCGGAGGTTCGGCGAGCGAGCAACGTTGCTGGATGACGGAGCAGTGACTAGCGGCGATTCCCGTCGCCGGTTTCGCGAGATCCACGACGACGGTCGAGTCTTCATGATCGTCTCGAGTCGTCTCGGCTTGAGAACTCGCGGGAACGTCTCGTCTTCGTGTGCGAGGTCTGCCGACGTCGGTCGCGAGGTTTCACCGCTGTTGTCACTGGCCGCTCGGAAGCCGCACGACGTTCATCGTCGTCGTGATTATTTATTCTCGTAAATGCGGCTGCGATGCTCTCCGGCTCGACGCCCCAGGGAAGCTCCGCCGATGGTCCTCGAGACTTATGGCCGACGATCTAAGACCCGCACTCCAACACTCGCCGCGTCCGCGGCGACGATACGGTACATGAACATCTCGTCCGACACTCCAGCCGAGTGTCAATGTTTTCTCAGATGTGATAGTCAGTTACGAAAAGTCCGGAGACGACCTTATCGCTGTTTATTCTTTTCTTAGCGTCGACCTGGAATCACACGATCTTTGCGAATTTTTCTCGAAAGCGGTACGTAATTCGCCGGAGGATTAGGAATGAAGACGGAGAAAGAGAGGAAAGGCAGGAAATACGACAAGACTCCGGGCTAATTAATTAAGAGCGCGAGAAGTTATCGCGTTCTCGATCTCTTCGACGTCCCACGATAATGTGGCGGTAGCTACAATCCGTGCCAAAGGCTTGTCGTATTTAAGTCAACAACCAAAAAGATATAAGCACATTCTCAGCGGAATACGTTTGTTTTCTAAAAGGAAAATACTTTAAGAAAAAAAGAAAAAGATTCAAGAAAAAGAATCCCAGTTGCTATTTCCTGCAATTCCTTTTGTCGCAATTAGAAGAGAGTATTTCTCTTCTAATGAAGAGAGCAATAATATTGTGCTTAGAATATTCGTCGACTGATTTTAGAAGAATCCTTTTGAGGCTATATATATAGGATATCCTATGATGAATTGTGAGTGCTAAAAGGATGTGTTTCTGGGATCGATTTAAGCAAAAAGCTCTTAGCATGTACAGTTCATAGGCCATCCTGCATCAAAAGATTCTGCTAAGGATGAAATGATATATTTTTGGATGACATAGAAAACGAAATTCCATGAAATTAACATTACATTTTTATCTTAATTATAATTTCAGAAAGTGAAAGTGAGGATTAATAATTTCTTCGAGACACCTAACGAGGATCTCCTGTTTTCTTTTTGACACTCAGTATTTCCTCGCCACGAGAATTTCTCAGAAGAATAATGAATCTACCGCAGCTGACGGTCTGATGGTCTCGCAAGATGCGGTTTCCATAGCAACTGAACGATTAACACGACAACATTCTACGCGCACGTTCTCTGGCGCTCAATTAATTATGGCCGATTAGTTTCGGTCAATTTACGTGAACTGAAGAGCCGCCTGTAAATTCTCCAATTAGAGAGCCATGCCTCCCGAGCGATATTGCTGTCGGGCTGCGGACGATCGATCGGCATTCATCGCCGCGACGCACTTACATCGATTCGTTCGAATTCGTTGTACAAACGACGATGATGTGCCTGAATCGTCCCGAATCGTCGCCCCCAATCGGATGAGTTTTCGTGCGCGGTCACTTCACGCGTCTCCTCTCCATGGAAGATTAACGCGGTCAATTATTCACGTTTGTCGTGTCAATTATACGCGATATGAGTCCTAATGTAATCGCCGACGGGGATGCACGTCTGTGACGTCGCCGTGCATCTGCGTCGTAATGGCTTGATTCATTACAATTGCGGCGGAGCTGATCACATTTCTGTTTCGCGCGCGAGCGTAATTACAAACGTTCCTGCAAAAGCGAATTCCACAACGTGCGTCATTAATCACCGCCGTGACGTCGTTAACGAGCTGCCGGGCTGAGAAAGGCGTCGAGAGAGGATCCCGAAGATTCGCGAGATGTCTCAGTAAACGATACCTCAGTACCTCAACAAACGTCTCTCCTCGTTGCTCCTTGCCTTGTGTGTTACCGCACTCGTGACAAGCATATCATCAGCCGTATTTACGCTAATCCGACGTTCCGCCACCTTTGTCCCGCGATCCCTTTCTCAGACTCTACACTGAGAATGTTCCTCGGGTTCCCGGAAATGTCATACACGTCGCGTTAGCAATGCCACATTTGTCCTTTCCGCGGCGTGGAGAAGCGTCATTGCGTAAAAATAGCGGAAATGTAACTGCTCGCCTCTAGTAATACACCCTCTTTGCTCTTTCCCGAAATAGAATTTCAGGATTCTCCGATGAAAATCGAGCGATATTTATTCTCCTCAGCAGTGGGATTTCTTCTTCTTTTTACGAGCCCCAGGAGAGTCGCGTCAGACCACCCGGCCAACCCTCCCCGCCTACGACAGAGGCGCGTGCTAATAAATCATTCTCAAATCGATCTGACACGCGCGCCAAGTACTCACTCGCGTCGCTCGCGCTTTCGGTGAGACAACTTATTTTCGTAAATTTTTTAAAGAAAAAGCCACTTAGTAACTTATCCATATTGTTAATAATTAAATTAATCATTCAATCCAAATCAATCAATTGGATTCACAACGACGACTTCTCTCCCGTTCTATTGGCGAATCGCAGTCTCGAGCTACGTACCGTAATTGCTTTTGCAATTGAAATCTCGCGATTTTGCAATTCAAAAATCCCATCAATTCAAATCCCACACGTACACAAACTCTCTTAGAGTGAATCAATAAAAATTTTTCTGATTGAACCAGTAAACTGAACTATTTCATTGATAATTCGTATTCACTGATTTTCAATGGGAACACTTTCACTTTGTTATTCCATTTTGTATCTCACTGATTTCGATCAGTGGATGTAAGATTTCATTGCGAAACGCTGATACATTCGCTGATGAATTCGTTATACAATACATTATACCAAATCCAATCTTATGACGAATTAACGGCTTCCCCATGCGCCTTGCGCAATGACGCTGTTTGTGTTCGCAAGGTGTGTCAGTAATGAAGGGACAGTTGCTATTATTAACTGATTAATGAGATTTTGCTGATTGCAGATTGGATCACCGGTTATAAGTATAGTATCATAGTGAAGAATACACTCATTGTACTTTAGACATTATGCTTTACACATTGTACCTTAAAAAGCACACTGAACACATGTCGCGTTCGCGCGCGAACCGCGACCGACGTTCACGCTGGTCGTTTCGCGCGCTCGTCGAGAACAAACTGGACGGCTTCAGCAGTCTCCAAAGACTACGCCACAGCATCTTGCATCTCGCGGCGAGATGCCGAGCGTGTTCAGACTCGCAGAAGCTCGACCGCGAAAACCGTCTGGCACGTGAGTTTCGAACTCGCCATCTCGTCGGTTTTACGGCTTTTCCATGTTGATGTTGCCGTCGACGGTGCGGCGCTTTCGTAAACGCCGCCGACGGAAACATGACGCTATTTTCATCGTCGTCATCCTCGTCGTCATTTCAGCCGGCGTGCTCGACTAATTGTCTTGAATGGGCTGTTAACGCCTCTGTCCTCCATGTTGTCGGAGATCGTTGCTCCGGGAACGTTGGTCGAATGGATTTTTCCGCAAGCGATTTATTCGTCTCTCTTTCGTCTAGCTTCTTTTTTCATAATTATCCACGCGATTTTCGTCCACCTGTCGTCTTGTCGATGGATCACACTGGCGCCTCGACGATTTCCAGAGATTCCGCGCCTTAGCTTCATTTTTTCTCTCATTTAACACAGCTTTCTTCGAGCTATCTTTAACCCTACGTCTGCTTTGTGGGTCACTTTGGGGACGGTTGAAATTTCGATTGTTTGTCAGGGATTTTGCTAAAAAGAAAGAGTTACAAGCATTGGGGGCTAAACCGCGTTCCAACTAAAAAATGGAAACTTGAAAAAATGAGAAAAATTATTCCCCGATTTTTTTTACTCATACAAAAGAGGAAAAATGGTACCGCGAAAAAAACTGCGTTAGCGAGAATCAGGGAAGCAGACGGAGAGTCAATCGATTTTCACTCGCGCTACAGCGTTTACGCGCTTTTGGCAACAGGACAATGAACACTCGTTTAACACGTTGACTATCATGACAGAAGAATGAACAGCCGTTTAATATGTTGGCTGTCATCTCATGGTGACACAGTTCTCGATAACGTCCGCGTGCAAAAATAAATAGGAGCATTGCTCGATATGTGACGAAAACAAACAAAAAATTTTTAATCTAAAATCTCAAGCTGTCAGTTAGCGTAATATTTGCCTAACCCAAAAATTCCGCAGCTTGTACACATCAAAAGTGTGGATGCTCCAAACAAAAAAATGTTGAAGAACATTGCTCTACCTTCGCATCTACATTTGGAGAGATTCGTCCACAACGTCGGTCTTCGCTCGGATTCCGAGCTCGTTTATTAATGTCGGGATCGTTTATTAATGTATTAATAGTGCTTATCGGCTCGATTTACGGCAGCGTGCTTGTATGTATCGCGCTTGTTTGCTTGCGCGGCACGCGACTCGTGCGAGGACGTCTCGAGAGGATTTATTTGCACAGCGATTCTGTTTCCTCTCGCGATTTTTCCGGACGCCAGGAAAATTTCTCTTCCTTTGAGGGGACTCGCGACTTTTACGGTATCGGGACGCCGTTTTTGCGTAACTCACAGCTGCTACCGAGGCTGCTCGAGTGTGTTAATTGGTAACGATGCGCAATTGAAGTGACCAGCGATGATGTTAATAGGATGACGAATAATATGACGAGTTTGCAGTTGGCACGTTGTATTTCCACGGAATAACAACGAGCGGCACGGAGTAGCCTACATTTGTTTGCACGCGCTTTTTCAGATGAGTTATGGAGGCCTATCAAACGTCACGATCACGAACCACTGCGCTGCAAATCCAAGTGTGTTATTTTGCCTGAATCTCTTCTTATCGTTTCAAGTCACGTCACTTGACACGTTTAAACGTATTGATTTATAATTTATACAATTTACACGTCTGTCTTTAACGTGCTAAATGATGTAATGCAAAATCGCAAAGATTGTGTAATAAGAACTTCAGCCAAATTACACGCTTACGCGTTTGAGAATGACACACTTGAATTTGCGGTGCGCTCACGAGCTTGCAAGGTATTCGCGATGGTGTCAAAAGTCAAACAGTAGACGAGATACTAGATTCAAGACACGGCTCCATTCCGGAAGCTATATCTAGACATAGTAGACGAGATATTTGACGTCGCTACTGTAATGAAGGATTTAAACAAAGAAAAATTCACGCGGCTTAAACCCGGAAACCAGATCTAATATTCATAGAACACCGTGAAAGTCTCAAATATCAAATTAATTAAATTCATTTTACGACAGCACAGTCGCTTAAGGAGATGACGAACTCGAATAATGTCGATAATACAGAGACAATCGTCACTAACATAATCACACGATCCTTTTCGTATTTCTTGTATATACAGAACTTACATAAATGTGTGTTGCTTTGTTTTATCATATTCAAAGGAAAACTTAACCATATATATGTAAAAATCTTTCAGCAAACTTTTTTGATATTCTTAAACTTCCAAATGTAAATGCGAAGCAAGAGCAATGTTTTTTAAAATTTTTTTGTTTGGAGCATCCACACTTTCGATATGTACAAGCTGCGGAACTTTTGGGTTAGGCAAATATTACGCTAACTGACAGCTTGAGATTTTACATTAAAAATTTTTTGTTTGTTTTCGTCACATATTGAGCAATACTCCTATTTATTTTTGCACATACTTTCATTGCGTAAAAGCATTTGTAATTCTGTGTAACCAATACAACGTAAACTTTGCAGAAAAATGTCAGTATTCTGTCGGTAAAGTTTTCAGCTTCAGCATCCCCTTAATTTGTGACAACCAGGGGCGCTGCAACTTTATTTGGAAAAATGCGTGGCCACCGTTTAGTACACCTAGTGTACTTGCACGATCATCGCTGGAACAACGGGATGTGAAGCCCGTTACAGCACCGAGGTGACTTTTTGTTTGAGTGCAACGAGCGACCATTAATCGGCAGATTAATCTTCCAGTCGCAGGAAGCGTCGGGACAAATTCCATTGGGAACTGCAATTTGATCTGTCATCTGAATCAAGCGTAAGTCACGTCGCGCTGCCATCACTGAACTCATTTGCACGAATAATGGGAAATGGCGGCGCACGTGACATCGATTGACATTCAGCCGAGCGATAAGCGTTGAAACTTTTCGCGCAAGTCCAGGTATCGCGAGAAGACGCACTCTTGACTACCGTAATCGGCCGACCGATCGATCGACTGGCCGGCTGACCGATTATGGTAATGTTTACCGTGGAAATTGGCATGGGTGATTGATAGCGCGATGTTCACATGACGATCTCTCTCTCTCTCTCTCCTTCTCTCGCTTGCCCGAGGGTCCGACATCTACGAAGATCGGGCGTGACGTAAATCAAGTAAAACAGAAAATCACGACGACGTGAGACTGACGAGGAACTGATCGAATCGTGATTGAAAAGTGAATTTCTTCAGTCATTTTCTCGTCATTTCGACGTCCTCGTGATATTTCATTCTGCTCGGTTAAGATACGATCTCTCGCGGAATATGGATTTAATGACCGTATTAATAGTAAGCTTAAAGCTTGTTTCAGTCGAGATACTCAGACTTTTATTCAGAGTCAGATCTAAATATTTTCAGCTGAATCGCGATAAACGTGAGATTTACATTTATAATTGCGATTCAATAAAGAATCTCTCATCTAACTCTATACTGAAATCTGAGTATCTCACTTGAGACGAGTTTCAAGTAATGACTCTTAATACGGACCTTAGGTGCGCTACCATTGAGTTCACAGCTGAACGCGCGATAAGTCGTTCGAAGAAGATAAAAAGAGAACGCTTCAACGCTGAGCTAATCGATGTTAAAGACACCTATTAACAGTCGTTACCTGGAACTCGTCGTGAGTGAAATACTCGGACTTGAGTTCAGAGCTTGGATGTGTAAGCTTTTCAGTGGAATTACGCGTTTGAGTTGAAGTCAAATGTGAGTGTTTCGGTAGAGGTCTCATCATGACAAATATAACGCCGCGTCTATCATATAATTGCAATAAAAAACTCAGCTCTAACTGTAAATTCAAATCTTAAAATCTTATATGACGCAAGTTTCAAGTAATGACTGTTGATAAGAGCCTTAGGCCCATATTAACAGCCGTTACTTCAAACTTATCTTAGATGAGATATTCAAATTTAAATTCCGAGTTTGATGTGAATTTCTCAGTTGAATCGCAATTGCAAATGTAATGCCGCAAGTATGATATGATTCAAATAAAAACTAAAATTTTTCAAATAAAGTAAAATAAAAATTTTCAAACAACAACTGTTAACACGAGAGAGAAAAAGTAAGAGAGAGAGAGCGAGTCTTAGGTTACTCGAATTACTTTGAAAACCTCAGATTTAGTTTGGATAACTCTTATTTAACAAAAACCCAAAATTTAACTCTAAATTCATATTTAAGCACCTCGCAAGGAACAAGTTTTTCGACTAACGATTATTGAGACGAGCTTCATTCGCGTCGATTCGCGAAGTTTTCGTTGCTTCCATCGACACGGCTTCTTCGAACGTTTTAGAAGCTTAAGGCTCTCAAG